GGAATGTAATAATAGTCTGGCCCGACTATGAACAGACAGATATTTTTGGACCGATTTATTGCATAACAGTTACTCATACTCAACAGAACAAACTTTTTATCTTGAATTTAAACGATAACAATGCATCGGACCTTTAAAAATTTTCCGCTTTCGCCCGCCAATATGGCGCATCTGCGGATCACATGAGTATTTTCGAACTTTTTTCACCTTGATTAATAAACTCTCTCTTTTGGGGACCGAAATATTTCAAATTCATGTGTTCAAAATGTGGATTGGTTACTATCCAAAACAACACCGGCGATATTTTTTGAGCTGTGCTTTCAAAATAAAAGTTGAAATATTTTCTGGAAATTAGGAAGGCGACTAGAGCCACCGTCTTCACTTTAAGAAAATAGTAAATCATAAAAAAGTAAAATAATCATGAATTGAACTTTTGCTGACGAATAAAATCTTTATGAAGTAACCTATCACAATTATAATTATCACTGTTGTTATTACACTTAATTGTTATTTTTCATGCTATTTACCTTTATAGTAATTTAGTTTTAATTAGTCAGAATGAAATACAAATACACGAATATGACAATAGGCCTATCTATCAACATTTTTTCTTGCCCGTTTTAATTTTTAAAATCATATCTTTCCTGCGCAGATGTTACAGAAAACGTAATTAGTTAAAAGGGAAACTATTACATTAGCTAAATCATCACGCACACAGACTAACACACGAACACGTAGAAAGGTTCAAAGCATTTCCTTTTGTGCAAATGTGTTTTTATGTAAATTTAATTATTGCTTTCTTGTAATTGTTAGTAAAATCATCATCGTTATCACTGTAATACTGAGTTTAGTAACACCATCATCATCATTACTCTCAAATTACTATCAGTAAATGCCTTTTTTTCTCTTATAGTGTGACCGTTAACAATACACAATTTGTTTATCTATTTTACTCATCTAGATTTGATAGATTTATTTCATCATCGCCATTATTTTATTAATACTATTGCATTCGTCTGTTCACAGAGACAAAGGGTTACATCTCAAGTGACACGTTATCCTCATCACCATTTTATGTTCCTCTGTTGCCTATTATATCCCGAACCGCTCTTGCAAGATGGTTAATATACTGTATATCTTGTAGGAAATATTTTGTTCATTGACTATGAATTAATCCTTATCCATGCCGGTATGGTAATGTGTCAATTGATTATACCTGCTGTGCAAAAGGACACCAAAAAGTGAGTTGGTTTCTTGTCGTTTTGTTGTTGTTGTTGTTTATTTATTTGAAATAGAAAAAAAATAGTGGGAAGGCAATGAAAGGAAATAAAATGGATGGAAGTTGGTTCGCTTGCAACGTAGTATAACTTGCACGCAAAGTCTGAGCAAAACTTGTGGAAAAGACACATTACACAAATTATCGTTGTGTTATTAACTCCGCCAAGAAAGTAAAGTTTTTGTAGTTATCATTATTCCTTTATTATTATTACATCTTATTATCATATGATTATCTACATTATTATCATGAAAATCATTAACATCATCATTATCATCACATCATCATCTCAGTATTTAGGCGAGGCACTGAACTTTGCATGGCGAATTTTAGGAAAGAAACCCATGCCTGTACACCACTTGCCAGTACTTGTGGAGAGAAGTATAGCAAATTTCGCTAAACCCAATTCCAAAACTTTATGCATATACACTCCAACCTTGCAGAATATCGCAAATATCCACTGGTAAGGAGTTCATAAAATCATCATAATCCCAAGTGTTAAATATCCTTTAGGTTCTATACTGAGACAGAGGCTGGGTGTTGCCGGACCGGAAAACACACGCGCGCGCGCACACACACGCACACGCACACACACACCACACGCACACGCACACGCACACGCACACACACACACACACACACACACACACACACACACACACACACACACACACACACACACACACACACACACACACACACACACACACACACACACACACACGCGAATGCTTCCTTCTGGAATCGCCGATTTGATTTTTTTTTTTTCCAAATGCAGAAACAAAAGCAAAATATATAAACAAAGATGATAGTGGTAATAACGACGACGGTGTTGCCGGACCGGAAAAGGGTCGGACCGGACCGTCTGGCGCCTGCTACTGAGAAACACAAAAAATCCGATTGACGGTTATTTTCGACCAAGGGACACTGACCTTGACGCGTTCCGTTTAAATGGAGTCACGTCAATCACGAAAAGGTCATGTTTTATATAATGTGGGTGATAAGGTGACGAAGCCTCATATTTTGAATATGTAGGGAAACCGTGTTGATTGATAGAGAACTTTGTATGTTGTATAATATTTAGTACGTGCGTGGTAATATGCAGTGCGTTGGGATAACAGTGATTTGACTAATAAGGAACACTTGTGAGGCACTGGCATACTATGATGTTTTTTGGCACGCTGCTTTGGCATACTTACGCAGGTTTGAATGACACACTATCTT